TAAGTCAAAATCGTTGTTGGTTAACTTTTAAATCGTGCTCAGACTTACTGCTTTTTAGGTAAGTTTTTGGGTAGAAACTATCTATCAAAGACCTCGCATACATCCAAAAGTGGAGGTGTAGATTCACTATTAATTCTTAACATCCTTTGTGCACATGTCTTGCATGGGTATAATCTCCTTCTTTTCTCCACAGGCTGACCGTGAGTCTCAGTTGAGTGGAGATGGTGGAAACGTAGAAGACATGCTTCTTAGCATGCTCGATGAGAGGGACAGATTAATGGTGGGATTAAAAGAAGCTCGGGAAGAACTGCAAGCTGCTCAACTTCGCTTGCGAGATATTGAGAAGGAGAGGGATATCCTGCAGACTCAACTGTCAAATGTTGTTCCCACGGTGAGTTTAGTACCTTTTTTTCATCTTTACAACCAAGCTTTTATGAACGACCACAATTCTAAGTTTCAAACATTTCAAAGCCCAATGCTCTAACCCATCTTGAATGGTTGTGTGCTACTTCGCATATTTTTGTCGAAGAAACTGTATTTTTAATGTTCGATGAAAACAAGTTTTAGTCTCTCCGAGCGGTTTTCACAAAAATATCGTTTCCGTTTGGCGCAACCTATGCATATCAAGGAGAACTGAGTGTGGTTGTGGTTGAAAGGATCTCTTTCGCCAGCTTGTTTCGCTGCGACTTCAGTTTCAGGGGCATCGATTTGGGAATTGCGCGCGCACTGCTCATTCGGCTTCAAGGTCGAATGAGCATTGACGACGCGCCCAGGACGGCATGCGCGCCTAACGCCGTCAAGTCGGAGACCAATCTCCCTCGTCTTTAATTAACCCATTTTTAGAAATGAATTGCACCCACACGGAAATTCGGTTTGAACGATTCATGTTAGGTTTCTTGACATTGCTGGTGGACGTGCTGCTTTGAGACTCTCTAGTGAGGCCCCTTTTACAGGCAGGAAAATTTGCTACAAATTGTCCAAATTTATTGTGCAAACACATCATAGACATTAGGTCTTCAAGAATAACCCG